TTCATGGAGTTCTGCCAAATTTGGATTGATGCAAATGGGAACAGTTTGTCCCATTGTGTCTCCCATATATTCCATTTCTGGAATGGCCCCCTTATCTAAATACCATTGATGAGCAGAACATAAGTGTTCCTAAAGGACTGTAATCTCATGCTGATACAGTTTAATAAATCTTTGTGTGTCTTGAAATCAGGTCTTTGGGTCATTCTCTTTGATATCTGCCAGTTTGGTCCCCTCTTAGGCCCGTTGTTGCAGCTGTTAAAGGCAGTTTCTATGTGGTGGATTTTTAGATTTGAGTGGAACCTGTTTAGTGTGAAGAAAAGGTTTCTTATTGAATAATAGCATAAGACAATTGGCACTAGTTGAATAGCAAAAACTCCTGATTATATACTGTAAGTATTGACCATGTAAGAGCCATGGTATGGAATACACTAAGCATTCAGTCTTTCTTAAATATGAGCTATATGGGGTCCTGTAATGACTTTGTTTCCTTTGTGTTATTCTTGAATGAATGCCTAGAAATTCCAGTGCATCCCGTGTGATTGTTCCAGTTAAATGCCTCAATAGCTGGATGCCTCTCTTAGTAAATGTCAATTTTTACTTCTCACAGGATTTAGTGAAACATACTTTTACTTTTTTGCCCAGTGCAGAAAACACAGCCTTTAATACAATTTCATGTAGAAATTTTAAAAGATTTACAACAGTCCACAGGGCTAGCCATAACATTCAGTTAATCACTAGGCATAATGACAGAATTCTGTCTGCAAGGGTAAAAATACTGTTTCTTAGAAGTGCTTAATTTTTACAGCTCACAGAATAATTGAGCCCATCTGCCTGATGAAGATGATTTAGAATTACAGGAATTTTGTATTAAAATGGTCAGATTTTTTTGTAACTTGGTATAAAATCAGCTTGGTGGGTTTTTTCCTGCCTAAATCTGCTGCATGTTTCCCAAATAAATAAGAACTGCTGTATTATGTGGCATTAGTGGAAAATTTATATTGGAATTCTACATTAAATTATTCTTGTAGGCAAAGTGTTTTCCTGTCTCTTTGGTTGCCTGTTAAAACCTGTTTAAAATTGTAATGCAATGCTTAAAAATGTTGAATTTGGTAAATGCACCCAAGAATCTGACAAGCCAAAAAGTGCTTATTAAATTTACACTGATTTCTAAGCTGCTATCTTAGAAATTTAAGATTACACTATCTTCACTGCATTTCATAGTACGCATCCATACTGTTTGTGTATGTGCATCCAACAGCATTCCCTTCCCCCACAAGCTAACACCCTCCTTCAGAGCATAAAATATTAGTGGTAGATTGGTATCTCTAAAAAGAATGTGTTTGAATCAAGGATTAAAGAAAAGTCTTGGGTCATGCATTTAAAATTAAACCAAGCTTTTTGTTTTAAATATAAAGCAATGCGTTTTCAAAAGCATACTTAGTGGAGTTATGAAAAGAAGGTGATCTTTTGGAGGTAACGAGACTAGTCATGTCATAATTCTCACTAATTAAGAAACACTGGCTGTCATTAACTTTGTATTTAACTTTTTCAAGAGCAGACATGTAGTGGATGTGCAGGTGTCTGTATTAAACAGAATTTGCATGGCACATCCTGAAAGACTTCTGCAGAGGTACGGCATTGTTTAGCATGGCTTCAGCTGTCATCCCGTGATAAATCGAGGACATCGGGCGAGTACAGTGTCCCTGCAGCCAGTATCAAAGGAGCCTGCATCAGAGGGCGTTGTCTCCTGCAGCAGCACTGTGCTTTCTCCACTGAGCTCACCGTAAACTCCAAGTAGTCCCATCGTATGTCGTATTTGATGTGTCTTAAGCTTACGTGGTAGTTCCATCATTATTTAAGTGTAAAGCAGTGATTTTTATAAGATCTGGAGATTGTTACCTGTTCACACAGAACCACCACCACAGCTACTCGAGACTTTTTTTTTCCTCACCTCTTGGTCACTAATTCATGTGTTTGTGGGTTAGCACTCCTGTCCTGGTGTAAATATATCTTGAAGCAACAAGTTTGTTTGTTTCTTTCAGTTTTCTTGTATTTGTGTAGTCTAATGAATAAAAAATAATGACCCAAATATGCATTTGACTTGATTCCTCATGTTCTTTGCAGTCAGTTTTCAGTTGAGGTCTGAGGCCATATCCGTAAAAGTTGATGAGAATTTTTCCAGTCAAATGAAGGATTTGGTTCTTCCGAAGTTTTTATCGAGGCTTGATAATGATTATTACCTTTACTCAGAAAACTTGAGATATGCTAAATCTCAAGTATCTGACACAGAACATTACTGTTTTTTCTGGAGAGCCTACACTTATTGTTGGCATAAACTGTTCTTGGGAGGGTGGCAAAAAGTTATAAAACCCTGCTTAGTCCCAGAATTACATTGAGGAGTACTTAGGAAATCACAGTTCCTTGAACAATGTGCTGTGCAGAGTTTTTAGTGCTTTGAAAGGAATGCCTGGGAGCTCGGGCAGACAACTGTAGATTCCTGACTTGATCAGAAGAATCAGTGCTGCTGTTAGGTGTGGTGCCTCAGCTATTGTCTGTTTAGTCCTGTTAGGGCTCTGTTTGTGTGGAAGTGTCAAGGGTCGCAGCTGTTGATGGTGGTGTATCTTCCTCCCCACCTTTGATGGAAATGCCAGGTTTGGATGTATGCACCCCTTTTATGCTGTATGCTGGCAAACCAGCAAGGGAGAGAATGTGAATGGGCAACCCTAATTGCTACTGTGGTTTTGATTTGGGAGCCTGATCCTGTAAACATATTCTTTGATTCTTAGCAAGCCCTGAGTAACTGATGGAAGAATGGCCTAGCTTTACTGTCTCTGTATTGAGTTCTCAATAAAAAAGAAGGAATGGTCTTTTGTATCTTCCGCTGTGGATGGTGCTATGGTTTCCACTGATTCTAGATCAGCTTTAGGTGACGTACGTGATTGACATAATATGTTTTATAAAAATAAATCTCATGTCTTTCAAGCCTTTATAGTGGTGAGAAGAAAAATAGGTGCTTTCAGCTGATTATAGAAAAATACGTGTTATCACTGTCTGTTGATGTAAAATTAAAGAATAATCCTCCATGGCATTTCAAGCAGCTCTGGGAATTTTTACTGCAGCGTTCCCTGTAGTAATAGTTATTCAGAAAGTACCTGTGAACATGAAACAGAGAATCTATGTATTTTTTTCGGCCATCCAGAATGGTTCAATTTGTTCACTCCCCAAAAGCTAAATGAGTAAGTCGAAACTCGGTTGAAGAAGTTACAGCCTGCTAATTTAGCTGAAACACTTTGGATTTCTTTCTTCATGTTTTAGAATTAAGGGTGCCCCTTTTGGTTCTTAAAAATCAGTACTATAGTCATGCAGCAAGCATCACTTCCAGTAAAGGATAGGGCAGAGGCTGTAACACTCAGAAGCAGATGAATCCAAAGGACGTTACTACCTCCTACGCTTGCATGTGGCAAGGAGCTGTTGCTAACGGTAGATATGAAAGTAAATTTGAGAACCCTCTGATCTAAAATATCAATGGTATCTGAAATTTCTGACATGTTCAGAAGGGTAATATCGCTTCATTTTAGGAATCGGTCACCACACGTGCTTAAAGATGTGCCAAATCTTCATCAAGCTTGAGAGGTGATAAGTAATTTTATTGAAAGACTGGTAGTAGTTTTATCCTTCCAAGAAAATAATACTCTTGGGAATCTTCAATACCAAATAACATGTTTTCTGAATAAAAATTAAATCATTTTGTGCTGAAGCAATATTGTTAATGTTATACAGGAGATTTAAAATCTAGATTGTAAATTCCACTTACGTATGGGTATATGGGTATTCCTGCCTGGTACATCGAAACTTTTAATGTAATTGTGATTTATTTTTTTAAAGCTATAGTCAGTGATTTTTTTAACAACCTAAGTTAAAATTGTTGATAACAGTATTTTGGCTTCAAAATAAAAGTTACAAGTATTTTTTTTTTCCTGTTGTTGACATATGAGAAAACACATAAAAAGGACTGAGCATTTCAGGGAGAAAGAGATGATGTTTTCTTTTTATAAATCTCTGCCAAAGGAAGTCACCAAACCCAGGTGCTTAAAACTGATGAAATCATTGCAAAGCTTCTGGATATTTTAGATGTGATTTCATTTCGCTTCAGCAGCACAAAAGGTTGCATTTCTTTGTATTTGGTGGATTAGAACTTTTTTGTGAGGTTTTGTTTTATTTCAGACTTAGTAATAGTGCTAGTTTACGCTGAAATTCTTACAAGCTTTGAGTTTCGTCATAGTGCGTATATATATATTTAGTGGAAATGAGATTACGAGAAGCATTTTGTATTGCCCTAGTTCACTGACTTCAGTGAATACAGCTTATCCTGGATAAGTTATTTTCTGAGTAATTTTTTATACTGTTGATTGCTTGCACCCAATTTTTCTGTTGCTTATGTTGTTTTAATGCTAAAGAAAAAATTCTGACTTCACATTTACTTCTATGCATGGAAGGAGAGTAAAACTTTGCAATTTAGCAGTCTATATAAATAATGCAATTATGAGTACTATGATGCTACAAAAATATTTCTCAGTACTGACTAGCTTTAGGTTATATAATAATAAAATTATTAAAAGGGCAGTGGAACAAATATTAGACAAAAAGTATCAGATGGGGAGAATGCAGAAATGCTGAAAAGTAATAGCCTAGGTTTGTGTTTAAAAAAAAATAATAGTAGTAGTAAATTGCAAATGCTCCTGAATAGGGAGTTTAAGGACTATTTTTAACTGGAAAAGTAGCTCTGAAGCTAGCTGATGTTACCCTGTGCAATGTATGAGTATGCAGGAAAAGTAAAGCCGAATGTCTTAAACCGTGGAATTTTTCATGTGAAAGGACAGACATTTGTCATTCTCTGTGGGAGATGATGCTGGTTGCTTGAAATAAAGGAAGCAGCATTATGGACAAAGTGGCAGTCTGACTGCAGAAAAGTAATCTGTGTATTGCTCTTTCAGGTTTGAGTATGAGCACAGTTGAAGAAGAGTCTGACACAGTGACAGTAGAAACGGTGAACTCTGTGACTTTGACTCAGGACACTGAAGGGAACCTTATACTTCATTGCCCTCAAAATGGTATAGAATTGTATTGCATAGTATTATTTCTTCTTTTTTTCATTGATCCAGCCATCATAATTCCCTGCCCCCAAATTCTATGAGCTACTTGGATTCAGCTTACTGTGCTGCAATTTGTTCTGTTTCAGTTTAAAGAAGGATGAATTGTCAAATTAGGTGTAAATCACAGAACTATGTATGTATCTGTCCAACAAGGATATAGCTGTTCTGATTTATTTCAGTGGAAATGGGTTCTTAGAACCAAGCACGTACCCAAATTTCTGTAGACTTAAGGGACTGGTTTGTGTGTGACAGACTGTGGATGGAATTTACAAAGAAAATCTCACAGAAAATGTATGTTGAATAAAGTTTGTGAACTGTTGTTGCCCATAACTTACACCAAGTTCCTGGGCGGTAGTAAAGCACCGAACCAACCTATCACATTTGCTTCTACCTTTTGTTTTGGTCCACTTTGTTAGCAGAACTTTGTCCAAAGCTCCCCTTTGTGGACAGAAGGTAACCTGTGTATGTTTTTGTTGTTAGAAGCTGATGAAGTAGACTCTGAAGACAGCACTGAACCTCCACACAAGAGGCTTTGCTTATCAGAGGATGATCAAAGCCTTGATGATTCCACTCCGTGCATTTCTGTTGTTGCAGTTCCAAGTAAGTTCTTTTAAGTTTTTGTACTCTTGTAGCCAAGTTTCTGTTGGTTAAAACTGGACTCTTTGGATCACATTAGAATATTTTGCATGTTTTATTTTCAAATTTTATTAATAGACTTAGGTATCATCTTTACCACTCAGAGCCTTGGATGGTTTTGCAGCAATTGTTATCTATACAGTGCTAGCAAAATAATAACTTAGTATTTCCACGTTTCGTAATACTGAGATATATGGTCTTTTTAAGGCAGAGATTGTTGTACAAAAGGTAGGCTGAATACTGAATTAGTCTTAAGGAAGTTGATTGATTATTAGGTAGTTCAATATAATCTCCCAAAGGGAGGCAAAACCAGATCTAGCAAGTTGAAATACCAATTTACAAAACCTAGAGTGGCTGTTTATTTGGTGGAACTTAGTAGAAACTCCTTAGAAGTCAAGGCATTATCATGTTGAAATTGAAGGAAAACTGGGGGAAAAGAATGCAGCCAAAAGATTTTAACATTGTTCTTTAGCAATTGGAAAATACTGAAGATAGGGATGGAAAGGAAGCATTAATGCAGTTCCAAATGTTTGCATGAAATCAAACACTTTTTATTTAGATGTTTCACATTAGGTCTTAGTTGTAGTCCAATGTAAAACTGAAGGTTTCAAAACTCATATTTAAATTTTATAAAGAGGAACAGTTGATAATAATTTTGATGATTTTACTGTGTCAATAAATAAATACCAAATAAGGCCTTTTTAAAAATTTCAGTGCAAAGGTAGCAATTTATAAAACCTGTAGCATGCATAAAAAATGTTACAGGAATAAGATAGACAACTAACTTAGCCATTCTGAAGTTTCAGAAAATGATCAGAGCTTTGAGGTGACCATGACTGCTACCACTGAGGTAGCTGAAGATGAGATTAACGAAGGAACTGTTACTCAGATTCAGGTACAGTAAAACTTCAAAATTGACCTATTTGATGTACAGTTTTATTTAAATTGAAATGAAAAAGGAAACAAATAGCAGAAATGGCTTATTAAATTAATAAGGTTATTTTTAGTATGAAACTAATGTATTTGAGCACAGATCTTGTTTGTAAAATGTTCTATAAAAGTACAATTGAATCATTTTATATATGAAAGAGGTTATTTATATTGTAACTTACTGCCCAAAGAGCAACGCAGTAACAGTAATAGATGTAACCCTCCACTATAATTACTTGCTCTGTGGTGATCTGCATAGAAGACAAGTTTATCTCTTATTTCTGTCATTCTTTGATTATAAATTAAACTTTATAACAGGCCTAAACATGGTTTGCCTTTCACCAGTCCTAGCAGTTACATACAGTTCTCATTGTGGATGTACCATGTTTAAAAGTTCTAGATTGGAGATGCTCTTTCCACCAAAGCCAGTGAGACTCTTCCTATTCACTGTACGTTAAACAGGATGAAGAATGTTATCTAATTAATTCTCACAAATTTATATGTTAAGATGCTAAATCTTACTCAGGTATTTTAAGAAAGGTGAATGTACTTTTAATGCCCTATCTAAAAAGTGGCACATTTGGAGCAGTCAGCAAGGTAAGTAGGTGTGCTGGTTTCATTTTCCTTCAAGTTACGCCTCCATGTTAAATGCAAGGTGATAGAAAGAACCGAACATCTTACTGGATGATCTCATATTGGTCTTTTCAAGATTCTTCAGAATGAGCAGCTGGATGAAATCTCCCCAATGGGCAATGAAGAAGTGTCAGCTGTTAGTCAGGCCTGGTTCACAACCAAAGAGGATAAGGATTCTCTAACAAATAAAGGTAGGATATTGCAAATGCAGTTCTCCCATGCTGTAGAAAGGTAAGCTATTCCAAATGTCTCAGGACATTTTGCAGGTTGCATAAAGTAGCCTCTAGTCTGTCTTTTTTAGTGAAGATATTTGAGAAGACTGATTCAGCAAATGCTGAGATACCGAATGCATTAAGTCTTCACCATCCCACTTACACTTTGTATGCAAGAAGAAAATTAGAACTCCAGGTGCACTTGGAGAAGAAGAGGGACCAAGCTTGCAGTGGTGACAGTGATTCTAGTGGCTGTGGTAGAGAACTGCTGTAGATAGTGCGTCAGCACAGACGGAGCAGTTGTGTTTGCTCCATTTACACTTCTGTGCGGTTAGGGGACAGGCAGCTGCAGTCAGAGGGTGGTATACCATGAAAAAAAATAATCTTTACTCAGGTTAATACATCTTCCTCTGAGCAGGGCTTACTGGCCACTATGTTGTGATTCATATTAAGCAGTTTCTGCAGTGGAGTTGCTTCAGAAGTAGACGGATCACACAGGCCAGGATCTACTGAAATAATCACCGCTACTCCTAAAACTGCCACCCTGTTGGTATTTCTCCCTTTCAAAATCATAGAATGGTTTGGGTTGGAA